AGAGAGAGAGAGAGAGAGAGAGAGAGAGAGAGAGAGAGAGAGAGAGAGAGAGAGAGAGAGAGAGAGAGAGAGAGAGAGAGATCCACCACCATCCTTTTCCCATTACAATATTACTTAATTAATAAATTGTCCTCCTCTAATGGTTCGTTGGAAAACTGAATGCAATGTTTCACAATTTCCAACACCTTTTGTCGATCGACGTCATCGAATGATAAATGTAACTTAGGAATATTCCATTCAGCAGCGACAACCGAACCTTTTGTACACCCTTCTATCCATATTCATGCTCATGCACAAACACATACACACACTCTCTAACACACACACACACACACACACACATACACACACACACACGCACACATAGGCACACACACACGAAACATTCACACACACACACACACACACACACACACACACATACGCTCACAACATACGCATATGCACATACACACACACACACACATACACATACACACACACACACACACATAGGCACACACACACGAAACATTCACACACACACACACGTATACGCTCACAACATACGCATATGCACATANACATAGGCACACACACACGAAACATTCACACACACACACACGTATACGCTCACAACATACGCATATGCACATACACACACACACACACACACACACACACGTCACTGCAAGACATATACACATGCACATGCGTGTGTGCTATGCTGCTTTCTTCTCCCTGCCTCTCTTTGAGCGCCGCACACAGCATTCATATTTTTCCTCTCTTGTTTCACGCTTCAGACTGCACCTTCCCTCAGCCCCATCATGCAAAGCATGGTCCATTTGTGTTGGCTCGGCTGATGGCAACGATCTTCCTTCACTGTGTGACTTTCCTCCGTTCTCACCTGATTGCTCGATCAAGTTGATTACGTTCAAACTGCTGCCGCCGGATCTGCCACGGCAGGAAGCTTCCTTTCCCAATCTATCCTCGCTGTCCACGTTCATGTTGTGTTCGAGGTTTGCATCCCCGTCGGCTTCCTCATCATTATTTCCCGCTTCACGACCATGTGTCATACGAACTCCCTCCATACCACCACCTTCTTCCCTCTCCATCGAGTCTGGTGCTATCTGCGAGCCACAACCAGTGCATACCATGTGCAAAAGTTTGTCCCCCTCATCTCTGTTATCCGCTAAAGGCTTGGTAGTGTCCCGCGGGCTTGCTCCTCCAAATACCAGTGCATCTCCCGCATCGTGCCCCCCCCCACTCCGTCCTCCATGTGACGACATGGCTGTGTTGGCTGCCGAAAGCGGGTCTCCCAGTCCACTGGGCACCCGTTGGGCACCCCCATCTCCGGCATCTCCCGCATCTTCGTCGGTTGTGGCCTTCTTTTCCCCCTGTTCCTTTGTATTTCCTGCCTCTTCCCCACCACATCTCAGACCTGCCGTCTTTTCCCCTGGCACTGCACCAACGCCCCCAGAAAACGGCGTTTTTAGTAGCTCATCAACTAATGCCTCATGAGTTCCCTGTTGTTTACATTTGACGTCCTTCCTCTCACGCCCTTCCTTTTCAGCAACACTCGTCTTAACGGCTCCTTGTCTAGACCCATTTCGGATATTCTCTTCCATGGCTTGAGTGCAYCCCACCAATATGTCACTGTCGTACATTTGTTCCGTMTGACGACAMTCCAATGCCCATCTGATCTGTCCTCGTGAAGGGCTCRATTWTCTCTCATAGAAAGCARCGCAATACTCCAGAAGATTGTTTTGAAGCAGCRCTTCAAATACGGAGTTCACCTTTTCGCTGATATCTTGCTCTCCTGCACCCTTGTTTGCCTGCAGCACGCGCAACAACAACTGTTCCTTTGCAGTCTTAAGGAACTTACTCCTGCTCGGTCTCTTCTTCAATATCCACTTCCCTCCGACTCGGACAACCATGTGCCATTTGCGATCAAACACACATGGCTCAAAAACACCTGGATGCCATATGATGTGATGGCCCCTTTTGTACACCTCGGTCTCTGTGAACTTGGTGTCCAAAAAGTGAGGTCCTCCTTTGCTCTCCTTCATGTGACTTTCGATTTCATCTCCAGGAGTTGGATCTTTGTCCTCGTCGTCTGGAATGTGGAACAACGGATTGTCCTCCAGACACATGTCATCCTCCTCGGGCCCCGCGTTGTCATGTTGACCACGAGTTTGGTTCTCTGTTGGCATTCCCATGACGTGGTCGAACATTTGCCGCATCAGCGTTGGAAATCCTGGGGCGCCTCTCTCGTCTTTCCATTTCGAAGTGCTTGCCTCGGTACCATCTCCTGCGGATGACGTCTGCGTATGTGTGAGCTGGGCGGTCTTGCAACTGGCCATTGTCGGTCCCCCGACTTCAACCACCGTCGGGTCCCCCCCCGATAAGGACCCGGTGCGCATGTTCTTGTCAGCTGCGTGGTTTCTTGCATCAGGCAGCGGTAGGTTGATCTCGTCATCATCGGTATCCTCCTCACTGTCCATTATATCGAAACGGTCTTTAGGGTCCAACGCTTCGTTATAGATCCTCGCGTCGATGCGGCGCATCTTTCTGTTGAACCACAGGTCGTCGCAACGTGCCAGAAATATCTCGATTGCACCAATCTTGGCGTTGTGGTACCGCTGGAGGTGTTGGAGAGCGACGACTTTTCACGCAACGTAATCAGTCTCCGTTCGTGTGTCAGGAGCATTGCAGAACAAGTACTTCCATAAAAATTCTCTCTTCTTCCCGAGTTTAAGAAACATGTCTCGGTCAAGCCGATGCTGGGTTTTGGGCCGTTCGAAGTGACAACGACTTTCGGGATTATGGACGAGGTGATCAATAAACGACGAACAATATTCGAGCATGGTGGTAGAGCCGTCACATGCCACCACAGGACGGTCAGATCGAAGCAAGTCCCAAACTCACCCAGATTGGACGTTGCCCAGAAGAATCACACCCTCCCCCTCCTTCGAAAACCATGAACACAACTCCTTCATTCTTGCTGGTTGTCTCTCCCAGACCCCATAAACAACTTCGTCTTCGCCGGCCACGCCGATGTGCTGTTGTGTGCAACGGACGAATATATCCTCCTCGTAGTTAGTGTCAAAAAGCACATTATCACGTTTGGACGGGACGGTGACTTTTTTGAAGTCATTGCCCGTGTCGTGCAACACAATCGTCATTGAGTCGCGACTCCTCAATGAAAGATTCCCAAGGGGGACACATGAGGATGGTTGCGTGCCATGATGCCGTCGCCAGAGGCCCGGAAGAACTTTCACACCCCCCCACCTGAAGATGTTCCTCAGAATGTAGTCCTCGCCCTTCAATCCACTGAAAATGATGAGTATCCAATGTGTCCCACACAGAGTCATCATCATTTGCTGAAGTTCCACAAACCTCTGCTCCGTCCATGAATCCAGATTCTTGTGGGGAGCCAGGTCCAGCACCGCAAGGTGACAACTCAATTTCTTCACAGCACGAGTCAGATCCTCTGTCGGTTGCAGCCCATCCAACGGCGCCATGCACACAGGCAAATACGTTGTATTACACTTCCGCTTATCCCACAGTATATGCTGTGCATTTGCGTTGACGTGCTGAAGCTCGTCCTTCAATTGGCTCATCGCTCCCACTATCTCATGCAGGAACAGTTTGATGAAGTACGGACACTCGATATACATTTCAGTCGTCACCTTGTACCCCCCACACATTCCCCTGTCCCAACTTTTCCACCCCCCCCAGTCGTTTCGGCACGTTGTTCGTTCTCTCACCTGGAAGTTTCATCTTCTTTTTCTCCCATTTCTCTTTCGTCAACCCGTGCAGCTCAAACCTCTTCATAATATCATCATACCCGATGAAGAAATCGGCATTCCACTCACGCTGTCCCCTGCGTTCCGACTTGAAGAGCACGTAGTTGAACATGCGTACCATGTATCTCTCCCTACGCACTTCTGTGTAGAGGTCGTTCATGTTCATCAGTTTCTTGGCGAAAGTCCTGCCGGTGGTGACAACGACCTTCCCTGCCAAAATCAAATCCAATGCCATCTCCTTCTCCCTAGCAGTGAAATCCCCGAACACTTTCCAAGCGCTCGCCGGAGGGTCATGAACACACACATAGTACCCATTTGGACTTTTGTTCGACCAGTTCCTTTTTCCGTTTCAGTGTTTTAGCAGTTGGACCTGCACCGGACGCCTCGCCTGGCCTCCCCTCTTGATCAACCGGCCTGACTCCATCCTGCCCAGGCAATTCCCCCTTCTCCCACATGTCGAAGAACCGGTTCACCAATTGCCACACTGCGTTGCCAGTGGTGGCAAGGCACATGAACGGCTGCAAGAGGTTGGACCAATTACGGACAAATTTGTTGTTCAGCGACTGATTCCAGAGCTCGGTGTCTGGTGTCATCCGTATCGCTTTGCGCAGAAAAGCGTGATAGTTCTGCTGCTGCGCCACCTTGTCATCTTTTGTTTTCGCCAGATGCCAGTCGCCCCTCGGGCATTGCATATGACCCCACAACCCTCTTATTGCGGTGACAACCATTCTGAACGACGAAGGGATAGATCGAGTCTCCCTCGTGTTGTCAAATGCGGAAATGTAGGCATACCCGTCAAGATGGTCATCATCGAAGTACACCGCACGCGCTTTCCATGACCGCATGCCCCATTTCCTGGCAGCGGGAGAGTTCGCTCGCTCCAACCTCTTCGCAACTTCCGCCGTGTGTTGGCCTGCCACGACATACCAATGGTACGAACTGACATCCTCGTCCCTCCAGTCCTTGGGTTTCAAACGTTGCCATTGTTTCTGCCCGTTCCACGTGACTTCTATAACAGGAGCCAGAATGAAGGTGTTTCTGTCCCACTCTTTCTGTTTCTCTGACCGTTCCATAACGTCTTTGATGGAGGTGACCAACATCTCGTTCAGGGGTCTGTGATTGTACTGGAATTCCCCGTTATGGGTTTGGTAAAATCTTGCGGACATCTACGAACACCTGAACAGGCCGGTCGATCGCACTGCCGTCGTCATCATACTCTAGAAAGAAACATCTCGTTGTGTCGATAGCATCCGACACCAACTGTTCCGGTTTGGACGTATTATCTCGAGGGTCAACCCCGACCGCCTTGTCCCTGGAGTCTGCAACTTCCTTTCCACCGTCTGTCTTCGCTTTCTTCTTTGGTCATTGGGAAGAGCGTGGTCGCTCGTGCTTTTCGTTCGCCGGCTTCGTCGATTGTGCGTCCAATGCCTTCTTATACGCCTCCTCCGAAGCTGCCAAGCCTATCAACTTCGATTGTCTTCGCCTCTGCTCCTCATCACCGCTAGCTCTCGATTTTCTCTTTCGCGAGCATACTGATGTCTGTGTGTTGAGGACGTCCTTGTTTCCAGAGCGAAGCCTCTGACTGTCGGCGCATTTGCGAGACTCATTGACAGACACTCCGTGTTCATTGGCTTCGTCCTCTTCCCCTTCGCTCCCCGCTTCGTAGCTGTCTTCGTCCTCCGCCCCCCGAACCCCAGTTCCCTCGTCGTCATCGCCATCTTTGAGCCCATGATGGTCGTCACCGTCTTCCTCGTCATCCCCACCGTCGTCGTCGTCCCCTCCGTCCTCGTCTTCCACCCCTTCCTCGCCATCCCCGACTCCCTGTTCGTCACCGTCACCACCGTCGTAGCCAGTGAACTGATCGTCTTCGTCTTCGTCATGTCCTTCGTTCCCTTCAGCATTTCTCTCAAGCACAGGTTGCTCAGCTGATAAGTTGTCCTCCGTCTTCTCAGGATCCTCGCCAACTTCGCTGCCACCATCATGACGTGAAGACGAAACTTTCGCCGGACCTTGCCATCGCTTCAGACCCGGCGATAACTGTTTGGACACCGTATTCGTTAGCGATCGTGGTGCGAGATCAAACTTCTGGACAGGCTCAGACTTCTCTACGACCTTATCACGTTCGGTAATTCCCGCCGAGCTGATTTGTCGAGCACCCGGGTCCCCACCGCCATGCGGCGACCCAACAGAGATCGCACTGTGTAGAATAGCCTGGCTCAGCGCCTGCAATTTATAAGCCCGAAGCTTCAATGCAAACTCGTCAAGTTTAATATCGAACGGTATGAGGGGTTCCGAGAGCGCCAATTTGCTGTCCACCGTGCACACATGGCTAGACACCTTGTGGCAGTTAATTCTCTTGAGAAAATCGAAAGGGAGCATCACAACCAGCGATCCGTCTTTTTTCCACGACTTATCAAAAGGAGGCATAGCAGCGGCCCGCATGCCGTACCCGACGAACTTCTCCAAATGCAGTGACACCTGTTTGTAGTTGTCCGGTTCCTCGTTATCATCAGCGTCGAAGCAAGTCGTGAGGTGAAATCTCATGTACTCCTCAGCAACCTCCAGTTTATCAAACGCGTAATTCTTCACTCCACCGCAGGGGTAGTAAGCCCCGCTGGAATCTCTCAAGAAAACGACCGGGCCGCAATAGAGGACTTTGACGCCCAGATGCCAATCGAGCGCCCAATACTTATCATGGAACGTCGTAGCCCTGCCAATCACCTTTGGCGTCGACGCACCTGAGGAGGTCTCTTTCCCAGCTACACAGACACCACACCCGATACGGAAATGAGCACGCAGTTGAATATGCACGGTTTATGAGCCCTTCACACACAGACTGAGATAGATAGATAGATAGATAGTTAGATAGATAGATAGATAGATAGATAGATAGATATATATATATATATATATATATATATATATATATATATATATATATATATATATATATATATA